CCCCCCCCTGCGGCCCCCCCCCCACCCCCCCGAGTGTGTTTTTTAAGCTGTTGGGTCTAGGACTCAAACTGCACAGCCAGCTTATGGGATCCAGCTGCCTTAACCACCATGTCACTGGCTGGTCCCCTTGACCAAATCATTCGAATTGAGCTCAGGTGGCCCGAGAGGGTCCCCTGGGACCTGGAGAGGATCCTTATCCCCAGCAGCCAACAGATGGCCAATATCACCACAGAGCACAGTCTTCCTTCTGCCGGAGCAGATGGCCCTCAGGGTGGGTGTGGTTCTGTCAACTCAGAGGGCACAGTCACGGCCAACCAGCCACCTGGTGCCATCTCCTGGAGTCCGTGTCGCTTGTGGGGCCAGCTCTGCTGGGGTAGACAGTGGCTTAATGGATATCAGAGTGGCCCTCCGGTTTAACATGACACCAGGAAGGCACAGGGAGTGCATCCATTGTTCCAAGGAGCTTGTGACTGACCCTGGGCATAAATGAGATCATAGAGGTGAGGTGGCAGCCGGGCTCCAGACCTGGAGAAGGAAACCAAGGCTGCAGTCCCGGCTCTTCCCCTGCGTGACCTTAGGCCATGCACTCCCTTTCTCTGAGAGTGGCATGGTGAGAAGATCAGCGGTTCCAGAGACAATCAGGCTAGACTCTGAACCCTGGATGGACCCCTGGGAGACCCCGGGCATGCAGAGGCTCTCAGAACCTATTTCTTCTTCGAGAAAAGAGGGGCGATAGCTGTTGTGGGGACTAGAGATAAGGCATGGGAGGCCGCAGCACAGTGTGGGGTGCATTAACACCAGCAGAGACTGTGCGCCTTTCTTCTCTTCCCCACTGCATGCTGAGGTCCCCCAGGCCAGGGGTTGGCCTGGGCACGCCCTCCACAGCATCCACCAGAGTGTGAGCTACAGTCTTACTGCGTCACTGAAGCCCTGGCGATGGCTGCCCGGCTGTCTGAGCTGGGACACAGGATTCCCGTATCTTCCTGAGGCTTGTGGGAGAAAGATGGAGTCTTCCTACCAAAGAGACACAGGAAGACGCCTTACAGATGTGGTCCCTGGGAGGCCCAGTGGCCATTTTCCCTGAAGAACTGGACCCTGAGGGTCTCAGAGGGAAAGCTGCTCTCCAACCAGCCGTGGGTGCCTGGGGTGCCACTGGGCACCCAGAGGTTGTGTCAGTCCCTCTGTCCCACCTCTGGGCCAAGGGTCAGTCTCCTTTTCTACTCCCCCTTTGGTTTTGGTAGCTGGGCTACAAGTGAAACCCCAGAATTGGTAGCGCTGGAGCACCCCCTTATCAATGTGGAAGGAAGACCTAAGCTCGCCCCATCACTCCTGTGGCCCCACAGAACCGTTCTCAGAACCCCTCGAGGGCTGCCTCATGCCTGTTAAGGCAGCAAGGAATCAACGGTGAGGGTTAGGAATGTCGCAGTAACAGCCCAAATAACCAGCCTGCCTCTGCTGGGGAGCTGCTCGGGGCCCCGCACGGGCTCTACAAACACAGACACGGGCCTCTCCAGTGAACATGGCTATACTCTCCTTAAAGAAGAGAAAACTGGGGAACCAGCAGTCAGCGTAATGGCTATGTCGTTGGACTCCCATGTAGTCGACCACGGTTCGCGTCCCGGACCCGGTGGCTTAAAACTCACGCCGGGCGCGTGTGTGTGCGTGCCCAAGATCCCAAGAGGAGAATGGAGGAGAAGGGATTCCGGCGTGACCATTCCCCCTGGGGGGTGATTTCTCACTCTCTGTCTCTATGTCTCTCTCTTTCCGTCTGGCGAGTGCACGTGCCCTATACCTCTCAAAAAAAAAAAAAAAAAAAAAGAGAAAACTGGGGCTTAGAGAGTTTACAAACTTGCTCAGGCCCGCGCTGGGGCCTGTGCTGTCTCATTCGAAGACCTGTGCTCTGAATCACCCACCAAACCAAAGTACATTCACGAGATAGGTAGGAGGGCATGCAAGCTGCCCGTGGTGCAAGTCAACACTAAACCACAGTCCTTCCCCGAGCACCTGTCCCAGGACACAGAGCTGAGGCTTACTGGGGAGTTACTCTGTGAGAAAGCTCAGCTTACTGCTTGAACCTCCTCCTTCCATTCACTCTGTACTTATGGGGCTGTCAGCCTGGGCAGCCCTTATTAACCTCTGGGAATCTTCTCAATTACCGAAGAAGGGGGAGCCCTCCTGAAGGCAGCAATCAGGGGTGAATCCTCATCTGATGATTCGCCATGCCTTAGAAAGAAAGGCTAAGTCGAGAGAGACTGCCCAGACGCTCTGGGGAGAAGGGGAGGCGTGGTGCAAGGTGGGGTGGTGTTCACATTCAGGATCTGTTTTCCTTTCAGGTGCAGTGATATGACCTCAGCATGCTAGCCCGGGGCTCTGGCAGTGCTATGGCTCAATTTCACGCCCTCTCAGCTCTCAGGAGTGCCCAGCAGCCTCACAGCAGGAACAACGGGAGGAAGAGCTAGACCACTGGGCTGCTAAGTGGCTCAGAGGGGACTTCCCATGTTGCAGTGACCTGGGCACTGGGCTGCTGATAGGCTGTCTCCCCATGAAATGTAAGCCCCGAAGGGCAGGGCCTGCAGCTTTTGCTCACTGTTCTTTCCCAGGGCCTAGAACAGTGTGTGCACAGGACTGGCCCTCAGCAGAGCACGGTCCTTTTTTTCTAATTGCCAGAGGGTGCATGTGCTCACTAGAGAGAGAATGAGAAAGCACCCCCCACAGTGGAGCATGGCCATGCCACAATCCCTTCTCCTCCATTTCTCCTGTCAAGATTTGGGGCACATAGGCACACGCACTGCCAGGGCCAGGAATTGAACTGGCCATATGGGATCCATCTCCCTTAACCATTAGGCTACTGAACTTGCCAAGCACTCCTCTTTGAGAACTTGAATCAGCGATGCTTCATTAACTGTAACCCCTGTCCTGCCAGGAATGAAGCCTCTCCTGGGTCCCCTAAGATCTGCTGACGGTGGTCATTGCTTTGGGGCAGGAAAGGCAGACAGGAGGATGGGGGACAAAGTGAGGTAGGGGAAGCATTTTTCTGACCTGTCTTCTCTAAAATTAGAGCAGAAAGGAAAAGAAGAAATGAACAAGGGGGAGAATATTCAGCAGTAAACAGAGTACACACCCTGCCTCACCTCCCTGGCCTACATCCTCTGGAGCTAGGGCCTGGGAAAGGAAGCCAGAAGAGACACAGGGCAGTCAAAGCTCAAGCACTGAAGCTTAGGCCTTCCTCTGAGGGGAAGAAGAGTCTGGGCCCTCAGGAAACCCTCCACAGGAGCCTCCAGGAGGCCACCCGTGGGATTTCCAGCAACAACTGTGCTATCTTACTTGCTTTTGTCATGCTAAGGAGAGGCACCTGCTCAGAGATGTCACTCACACTCTTGCCCCTCTGCCTTCTGACCCTCACTACTTTCTGAGGTAGCTCCTGGATTTTTTTTTTTATTATTATTTTAATTTGACCAGAGAGGAACAGAGTGAGAAATACAGAGAGAGAGAGAAAGTGAGAAAGCAAGCTGCCAGGTCCGGGACTTGAACGGTGGTTGGCCATGTGGGAATTCAGTGCCCTTAATCACCACGCCACCTATGGGCCCCCGCTCCCTGTACTTTAACGCAGTTTATTCCCTGTATTGCAGCATTATAAAATGATTTTAATGTCTCTGCATGCGTGTGAGAGATCTGTTTTTCTACCCTGCAATGACCATGGAGCTCTTTCTTGCTGTAATTCCAATAATTAACTAACTTCTCTCTGTTTTAAGCCTAAAGAGCTCTCCCTGTCAGAGTGTTGGGTTGGGGCTCAGCCCTGGGGCCACACAGACCCTGCCTGCCTTCTTCGTCCTGTGACGGTCCTTCAGATGCCTGCACCTAGTTATCAGCTGCCAGGTCGAAGATCCCCCATTTTGGTTGGCAGCCCCTCCCAAGACCCTGCATCCAGGTCATCCCCTTCAAATACTGTTGTTCTTTAGGTGTGGGGTCAGATCACATGTGGCCCTCTAGGAAAGGTCCAAGAGACAGCTATTAAAATGGGTCTCCAGACATGCCTGTTCTCAGTGGCCTTTTGTCACTTAGTTTGAGTGACAGTATGTTCCTGGATAATCTACAGTGCCATGTTCAACCTTCTGCAGTTCAGCTTTTAAAGACCACAGACCAGCTAGTGGCCAGCTGGGCTAATGTGTCACTTGTAGTTTGTCCTAAAGGCTCCAAATCAAGGAGGATTCCCTGGGGCCTCCCTGGGACCAGAACTCACCTTCTGAGACTTCAACTCCTTCGTGAGCACCAACACCTGCTGCTCCAAGGCCACCACCTTCTCCTGGGCAGTTCGGTTCCGCATGAGCCCTTCAGAAAAGAGCGGGAAGGTGTTGTTCTGGCGCTTGGCTTTCTGAATGAGATTGGTGGTCAGAGAAGACTTGGGCGCAGGCTTTGGAGAATCCGCTGGTTCGTTCCCTGCTCAAGAGCAGAAAGGCTGAGGTTAGGACATCAATAGGGCTTGTTAAAATGCAGGCTGGAGCCAGTCTGTAGTGTGGTAGTTAAGGTAGCTGGATCCCATGCGGCCAACTGCACAGTTCAAATCCCGAACCCACTGGCTTGAAAACCATGCCAGACATGTGTCTATGTGTGTCCAAAATCCTGAAAGGAGAATGAGATGGGAGAAGGCATTTCTATGTCTCATGGTGGGGGTGCTTTTATGTTTTCTCTCTCTGACTCTTTCTAGCGAGCACATGAGCCCTCTGGCAAATTAAAAAAAAAAAAAAAAAAAAAAAAAAAAGGCAGACCTTTGGGTCCTATTCTGAGTTTTGGTTTCAGTAGGCCTGGTGAGGAGCTTGAGAATTTGAATATTTAGTTATTATTTTTTAATTTGCCTGAGGGTGCACTCACCAGAGACAAATAGAAAGAAAGGGAAGGAGAGAAAGCACTCCCCCATGGAGCATGGTCAAGCTGCAATCCCTTCTCAACCCCGTCAGGATTTTGGACATGCATGCACATGTACCTGACATGTTTTTCAAGCCTCCAAGGCTGGGATTTGAACTGTGGTCAAACCCATGCAGGAGTCAGCTCCCTTAATTACTAGGCTATGGGGCTTGACCTGATAATTAGCATTTCTAAATTGGTCCTGGGTGAAGCTGTTGCAGCTTGTCCAGGGGTCATACTCTGAGAATCGCTGGACTATAGAAACTGCTTACACTGTACTGGCTGGGTCCTCCAGCCCACCCCTACACTGCCTGTCCCAGCCCTGGGTCCCAGTGTGCATGGGTCTATCTCATATACTCTGTTGGTGTATGCCAAGGGCCAGCTCCTTGGGCACAAGCCCTGGCAAGATAAATTGTTTCTTTTCTTTTTAAAAAAACATTTGCTAGAGGGGACATACTCTCACTGGAGAGAAAGAAAAAGAGAGAGAGAGAAAGAGAGAGGAGAAGTGAGAAAGCATCCTGCCATGGTCTAGGGGTCATTCGCAACCCTTTCTCCTGTTTCTCCTTTGGGATTTTTGTTTGTTTGTTTTTGTTTTCTTGCCATAGGGCATGTGTGCTTGCAAGAGAGAGACAGAGAAAGGGAAAGTGAGAAATCCCCCTCCCCTATGGGGGACAACCATGTCACAATCCCTTCTCCTTCTCTCTCTGGTTGGGATTCTGGGCACGTGCATACATGCCCCAGGTATGATTATGAAGCCACCATAGTCTGCTATGTGGGAATCCAACGCCCCAAACGCCATGCCACCTGCTGGTTCCTCTTTTCTGAATTCTGGGCATACACACACATGCACCTGGTGTGTTTCTCAAGCTGTTGGATCCAGGACGCGAACCACATGTTGGCTATGTGGGATCCAGCTGCCTTAACCACCACGCCAGCTGGCTGATATCTTGTTTCTTACTTCAGGATATCGCCTCTATACTTTGGACAATCTGTACTCTGCCTTTTTTGCCCCAGAGTAGCTCAAATGCTTAGCTGACTCTTAGGCTAAGTTAGGAGACCTTTTTCCCATAGTTCCTTGCCTCAAGAAGCATAGTCCTTTTCTTTCTTCTAGAGTGAGGGTCAGCAACCTAGGGTTCATCGGCCAAAACCAGCCAGCAGCCTGCTTTTGTAAAGTTTTATTGGAACACTTGCCTTACACACTGTCTTTTAACCTGGTTTACTCTCTTCTGCTTTTACTCCACAGAGGCAGAGTTGGGTACTTGTGACAGAAACCTCAGGGCCACAGAGCCTCAAATATTTACTATTGGCTCTTTAAAGAAAATGTTTTTATATCACTGATTTCAAGTCACTAAATTTTATTCTTTAATCAAATCTAACATCAGAGAATCACTCCCCTAGGCTACTTTGTCCTGCCCTGCCCCCAGACTGGGCCTTAGGACTCTGCCAGCAGGTTATTTTATGGCCTGATTATGTGGTCAAGGGACACTGACAAGCTTGTACACATGGGACATGCCATGCCTGGAGCCCCAGCAGGAGAAATTCCCTTCAGCCTTTAGTGCTAGAAAAAGCTTTGCTTTTGGTAAGAAAATGTTTTGAGTCTCATGGACACTAAAAATAATGTACCCACTTGCATTTCCCTTTTTGCCTTAGCTGCTGAGAAGCTCAGAGCCACACTGTTGCCCACCTTTAGACATCCTGTGAAATATTGTTTATTTTTTGGAGAGGTTTTTGTTACAGGTGCGTGTGTTTACCAGAAAGAGAGAGAGAGAGAGGGAGAGAGACAGAAAGCGAGAAATCACCCCCCAGGGGGGATGACCACACCACAACCCTTCTCCTCCATTCTCTTCTTGGGATCTTAGGCACACATGCGCATGTGCCCGGCGTGAGTTTAAGCTATCAGATCCAGGACTCGAACTGCGGTCAACTACATGGGAGTCCAGCGACATAGCCATTACGCCAACTGCTAGTCCTGACATTCTGTGGAATCTTATCTTGATTGTTTCTGAATTTCCTACCCCAAGTGATTCACTTATTTTCCTTCTGATATATAGTTTAGTAAACTATCACCTAACCCTTTCGAGACTAAAGTGTTAAAGATATTAAAAATAAGGAGGCAGTATGGGATCCCAAGATCAGGGACAGGCAGGCTAAATGACTTAGTGTAAGACCAGACCAGGAGTTGGCCATACGGCCTTGAACAGAGAAAGAATTAGACCAGCCAGTGACAGGAATCAGACATTCTTTTTTTTTTTTTTTTTTGGTTTTTTTCATAGGGGGCGTGCCCCCC